GCAATCTGGGCTCACCGCAACCTCTGCCTCCCGGGTTCAAGCAATTCTCCTACCTCAGCCTCCCGAGTAGGTGGGATTACAGGCACCTGCCACCACGCCTGGCTAAGTTTGTATTTTTAGTAGAGATGGAGTTTCTCCATGTTGGTCAGGCTGGTCTCGAACTCCCGGCCTCAGGTGATCTGCCTGCCTTGGTCTCCCAAAGTCTTGGGATTACAGGCGTGAGCCACCGCGACTGGCCTAATTTTTATATTTTTAGTAGAGACAGGGTTTCACCATGTTGGTCAGACTGGTCTCAAATTCCTGACCTTGTGATCTGCCCGCCTCGGCCTCCCAAAGTGCTGGGATTACAGGTGTGAGCCACCGCAACTGGCCTAATTTTTGTATTTTAGTAGAGATCGGGTTTCACCACGTTGGCCAGGCTGGTCTCGAACTCCTGACTTCAAATGATCCGCCCACCTTGGCTTCCTAAAGTGTTGGAATTATAGGCGTGAGCCATGGTGCCCAGCTGCTTTTATCTATATTTAATTACAAGTGTTTGTTTTTTCCCAGGCAATTTTTTTCCCTTTTTAGTCATTTTTTTAAAAAAACCTTTTATTTTGGCCGGGCGTGGTGGCTCACACCTGTAATCCCAGCACTTTGGGAGGCCAAGGCAGGTGGATCACGAGGTCAGGATATCGAGACCATCCTGGCTAACATGGTGAAACCCCGTCTCTACTAAAAACGCAAAAAAATTAGCCAGGTGTGGTGGCGGGCGCCTATAGGCCCAGCTACTCGAGAGTCTGAGGCAGGAGAATGGCGTGAACCCTGGAGGCTGAGCTTGCAGTGAGCTGAGATCGCACCACTGGACTCCAGCCTGGACAATCAAGGGAGACTCCATCTCAAAAAAAAAAAAGAAAAAAAAAAACTTTTACTTTGAAATAATTAGGCACCAACACTGCTGCAAGACCTGGTTGTCTGAATCTTCTCTTGTTGCTGGCTCATCTTTGGTGGTTCTATCTTTTCTTTCTTTCCATGTTTCTGTTCTAGTAGTTTTAATACTGTGTCTGCACCAACACCCTGGATTTGCCTTTGCTCCCACCCAGGACCCCCAGCTCCATCTGGGCGACCCCAATCCCACCTCCTGATCGCAGCATGCACTGCTCATGGCTGGCTACTCGCTGGGCTCTTCAGAGCTCCTCTCCCGCCTATGATGCAGCCCAGGTAGGATCCAACTGATTCTCCACACTTGGGGCTCTCTGAAGTGTGGCCCCAATCTACCTGGCTAGCTTTGGGTTTTGAAGCAAGTTCATTAGCCTCACTCCACCTCCTTGGCAAAATGAGGAGATTAATCCCTATTTCTGCAACGTTGTTTCAGGGATTACAGACAATAACTGAACCCTTAAGTGACTGGTGTGGAAGAGGTCAATGCCCATCTGCTCAAGTGTGCTCCATGTGCCCAGGGCACTAAGGGTCCAGCTTTTCTGTCCAGCAGTCACTTCCTATTTCCACCCCTACAGAGAGGCCAGAGGCATTATACAACAAGCCAACACATATGCTTTATGGTTCTGTTTCAAAAACATGAAAACTCAGGCCCCAGGACTCAAGTGATGTTGAGAAGCAGAAAGGATGGAGAAGTCGGTGGCCCCAGCATGGGTGCAAGCAGCCAGACCTCAGGCCCTCGCTCTAGGCTCCACGTGGCTGGGCTTGACTTCTGGCCAAGGGCTGCTCTTCCCACCTGAGGCCAGACCTTGCCTGAGGAAAGGGCCTGTGGCAGGGGGGAAGCTCAGGCAGAAGGAAGACGTGGCCAGCGGCCATCCCTGAGGAGGTAGTGAGCAGCTCCTGGTTCGGCAAGGGTAGGGGGTAGGAGCCAGGCTGAGGGCTCTTAGGGTCCCCTCTCCACAGCTCTGGTGAGCCCCCAGCCAACTGCTTGCTCACCTGCCTTCTATGCTTCCTCCTGACGCCAGCCCCTGGGAGAGAACACCTGAAGGCAAGAAGGAAGGAGGGCCCTGCCTAAGCTTCTTCCTCCCTGCTTGGCCAAGTGGGAGAAGCAGCTGAGGTCCTTCGTTTAACCGAGGAAGCATGGAGGAGCTGGAATGCCTACCAGCTCGGAGAGGGCACTTGAGAGGGTCTATGAACAAATCTGTCTAAAAACCACATTTGAGCTAAAAGCATCAGTCCATCCCTCAGCCCCAGCTCTGTGCAGGCCAAGTATCCAGAAGGCAGCAAGCAAGGACAGCCAGCCCCGTTGGGCCTGGACCCTGGTGCCGCCTCTTCCTCCAGCCTCAGCCCTGCCTGCTCCCTCAGGGCCCAGAGGAGGCAAGGTCAGGGGCTGGCCAGGCGGGGCCTATCTCCCAGGCTGGAGGTGGTTGTGGAGTTGCTCTGCCTGAGTCTTCAGACGCTGAAATTCCTCTTGAATGAAGTCTGTCAGGGCTTTGCGCATCTCCACCTGAGGGAAAGGACCAGGGATGGCCTGCACCCCTCGGGAAGCTCGGCCAAGGTGCCCTGGGAGGGTGACGGGACGGAGAGGGTGGAGGCACCCTCAGGGGGTCCGGGGACAGCTATGGGGGACCCAGGAGGAAACTCACAGCTGACTTGTTCTCTGCCCGGAGCCGCTCGAGTACAGGAAGGGCACTGAAGGGCTTCCCGATCAGCACAGTGATTTTCTGTGGGGTGGCCACCAAGAGTGATGAGGAGCAGGAGGAGTGCCCACAGCCCCAGCCCAAGCAACCCGGGAGCCAGAAGCTAAGCCCTGGCCCTGCTGTGCCACACATTCCCCAGGGGCCACTCTCTCTCTAAAACGAGGTCCTGGTCCTGGGTCCTGTGCTGTAGATAACCTGTCCTGTCCTGACCCCACGGCCCACCCCTGCCCCAGCCTGACTTCCTCTGCTCTCATTTTAATGTCTCAGTGCCAGGAAGTCCCTGTCTATGTTCCACTCAGTCCCCTACTGTAGCCTCACACTCAGCTCCTCCTGCATCTGGCCTCCACAGTGCTGAGTGGGAGACATGGGGCAGACGGCAGACAGGCAGGCAGACAGACAGCCGAAGGTCAGCAGTCCCCACCCACCTGTCCAAAGCGGGGGAAGTAGGGCGGACTGTTAGGAAGGACGTCATTCATTCCTGCAGCACAGTGGACAGAAGGCCAGACATGGGGTGGAGCAGGGCAGCCTGAGTCCCAGGCCCCCCACTCCAGATACCATCTCTCTGTCCCTGTTCCCAGGCTCACCAACATGCCACAGGGGCAGGATGATGGGGTTGAGATGACACTCAGCAATCAGGCGCCCGATTCCTGCCCGGGGGGGAGGCAGAAATGTTAGCATAAGCTGGGCCCTGAGCCAAGCTTCTGTGCCAGCCTCTGGCCAGTACCACCCCGGACATCCTCCAGTTCAGTTCAGCTCCCCTGGGCAAGGCCCTCCACGAGGCAAGCCCTAGTCTCAGCACCTGTCCCCTTCCTGGCGCTACAACACACCCATTACCCCCATACAACCCAGCCTGAGGGGGCAGGAGCCAGGGGCCCACAGGGCCATCTCTGGGCCGGGAGGATGGCTGTGGCCAGAGACCAGTAGCCCTTACCCCACTTGAAGCGCAGGAACTCAGAACTCATGTTCACTTTCCCTGGTGAGAGAGCACAGAGGCGAGGCTTGGGAGCCCATCCCGCTCATACTGCGGGGGCTCGACCCAGTCAGCCCTGCTGACCTTCTGGGAAGATATGCACCCAGTCCCCATGGTTGAGTTTCTCCAAAATGAAGTCCATCCCCTTCTGGTAGACGCCATCTCCTGCAAGGAAAAGGCCTCTCCCCATCAGTCCCCATTCTCGGGGGTGTGGGGTGATGGGTTAGCTTACCCTCAACCCTCTCCAAACCTCGATGAAACAGGCCCTTCTCCCTGGGGCCCATGCTTTAGGCACTTCCCATCCCCCACTGTGCCATCCACACAGATGCCCTCCAGTGACTGTCTCCAGGGTCTGTGTGGCACTTGGGCACATGGTGGGGCTTCCTTCCTAATATCTTCTAAACCCCTAAGTGCCAGGCAGCATCATCTCAAGTCATCTCCTACTGAGATTTTGACCTGGCAATTCCTCCATCTACCATGACCCCCATCTTCAGTGGCTCACCAGCTGGGCCGCTTCAGCCACATACCCCTGCACACTCTCAAAGATCCCCAGGTTGGCACACCACCTGCCTTCCCTCCCCAGCCAGGCCCTGGCTGCCAGCCGACCGCTCTCAGAGCCTCATGTATTCCTTTCTCTTCGAAGGTGCCACTCCTGGGGTGATCCTACCATGTGCCAGCTGCTAGAGAAACCAAGTGCATTTGTGATTTCCAACCTCACTTAGGCCCCAGATTCTGGGCAACAACCCTTTGCTGGGGTCTCAGCGACATGTCACAGCCACTCCTCAGAGGGCACCTGCCTGAGGCCTCAGCCTCCACCATTCCTCCCTCCTGCTGGCCCCTTCTTCTCAGGGCGCCCAGGGAAACTAGACCCTCCCTTATAGGGAGGCCTCTTGGGAAAGGGAGAACATTCATTTGAACACACATCAAGAGTTTGGGAAAAACTCAAACTTGCTAGACTGCAAACAGTGGAGTCGAACTGCTCCTGGTCTAGCAACTTTCCACATTGGAGATAACCCTGAGACCATGACACTGGACCCAAGAGAAGGAAATGCAAACCTCCTTCCTTCTGAAGCCAATGTTGGCTGCGTGTTGGCTGGAAGCCTGGGGACGCTTGGAGACAGTAAGTACACAGTAAGGATCTCATCAACCTCGGTGATGGAAAAGTAACCACATGTCGGACAAAACAGGAAAGAGGAGGTAGAGAGGTTGAAGGAATGGGGTATAGCAGATATCCTCATCTTATAAAGTAGGGAGTAAAGAAGTTCTATCACAGAGGGAGAGACAGACATTGGGAATACCTCTGGCAATGAACTTTGTTCTCTGCAAGGCCGATTCTTTGGAAGGGGCTAGTTAGGGATCCAGGAGTCTCAACCCAACCCAAACAGTGCCCTGACCCAGCAGCCCACTCGGGCTAGAGGGAGGGTGACGACTCACTGGAGTTTTCTCAGGGCATGGGAAAAGCAGCAGTTTCCCTACTTGGGACACAGCATGTGTAACAGTAGGGGGGAGTCTTCATAGGTACTGGCCCCTTCTCTACTAAAACCCACTGATGCAACCTATCCATTGAGCTTGAAACTGGAATTTAAAAAAAAATAATAATATGCTTTTGGAGCAAGACTTCATCATTTGTAGCTTTTGCAAATGCTACTACTACTTATTTGTGTCACTTGTGTCAAATCACTTCGATACTTAAATACCATATTAAAGTCTACGCTTGGAGAAAAAGGGAATTTTTTGGAACACAGAAGCCAAGTGTGCTAAATACTGCCTTTGCCTTAATGACATATTATTAGTTCTTTGCTGAAGGAACTGAGAGGCAGGGGCAGGGGGTGAATGAGTAGAGTTCTCATCTCTCAGAGCAGGTTGGGATAAACGACGCCACGGTCATTTGCCAAGACACTGTGGCCTCTGCTTGTTTCTTAACAGAGACAGAAGTTCCTTTACAGAGAGAAGTAGCCTCCAAAAGCAGCAGAAAGAGAAACCGCTCCAGGGGGCTGCTTCTGAGGAGTGGGGCTAGGGAGGTGAGGGGCGGGCACTGCAGCTTTCCATTAAAAGCCCCTCTTTGCTATTTGTTGTTACTTTATGGGGTTTTACCACATTCTACTTTGACCAGCTAGAAATAATAAACCCCTCCTTGACCTCTAATATCCTTTGGTTACTCTTCCTTCTGTCTCTTTTTCCTCCCAACTGAACCTCTGGGAGGAGTTGCTGCCCCTGCGGTCTCCATTCCCCCCCAACTGCAGCACCACCAGCCCTCAGGCCACAATAATCTGGCTCTGGCAGCCGTCACTCCATGGAAACGCTTCTCCAGAATCACCTGCTGCTTCCATGTGCCACAGGCGCCTGGTTTGCTCTTCTCTCTGGCCATGGCTCCCTGCCATCTTGGTGGCTTCTCTCTCCCTCTGTGCCGTCCTGGGCCTCTGCCCTGCAGACTCTCACTCTGCATTCATGACTTTGTGGTTGAATTCCCAGTATCTTTATTCCTGATTTTTTTTTTGTTTTTTTTTTTTGAGACGGAGTCTCGCTCTGTCGCCCAAGCTGGAGTGCAGTGGCGCAATCTCGGCTCACTGCAAGCTCTGCCTCCCGGGCTCACACCATTCTCCTGCCTCAGCCTCCCGAGTAGGTGGGACTACAGGTGCCCGCCACCGCGCCCGGCTAATTTTTTGTATTTTTAGTAGAGACGAGGTATCACTGTGTTAGCCAGGATGGTCTTGATCTCCTCACCTCGTGATCGGCCCACCTCGGCCTCCCAGAGTGTTGGGATTACAGGCATGAGCCACCGCGCCTGGCCCCCTGATCATTCTTCTAAGCTCCAGAACTGCACACCCCACTGCCTCTGGGACTGCTCTCCAGGTGAGGGGCTCCTCAGATGCAGCACAAGCAAAACAGGACTCACCCTCTCCCCTCCCAGCCCCTGCACTGCTTTCCCTTTGCACCCATCTCCCCGTGACTCAGCTTCAACACCTAGTGTTATCTTTGAGTTCTCTTCCTCACCCCACCCTACACTTAATTTATCAAGTCCAGAGTACATCCCAAAGAAGTCCCCTTCTCCGATTCTCCACCGTGACCCTTGGAGGCCCAGCCACAATTATCTGCTGCTGGAGCTACTGTGACAGCCCTGAACTGGGCTCCTCACGTCCACCTAACCCTGCTGCAGCCACATTGCAAACTAGGATGCTATCGCTCTCTTTTTTTTTTTATTTTTTTAAGACAGAGTCTTGCTCTGTTACCCAGGCTGGAGTGCAGTGGCACGATCTTGGCTCACTGCAACCTCCGCCTCCTGAGTTCAAATGATTCTCCTGCCTCAGCCTCCTGAGTAGCTGTGATTACGGGCATTTGTCACCATGCCCAGCTAAGTTTTATATTTTTAGTAGAGACGGGGTTTCAC